AAAAAAAAAAAAAAGAAAGAAACTCTTTGGTTTGTGCAAATAAACCCTTCAGGTGGACCCTATCCTTCAACTCTGGATCTTCTGAGATGACCAGAAGCTGTGAGCTCTAACAGTTTAGACATATCATGACAGTACTTAATTATGTATGAAAATTTAATACTGTGTCTTTTATTTTTCTATTTTAGATAAAGGAGTTTTTGTAATCCAAAGTGAGAGTCTTCAGACATGCATTCAAGCAGGCAAATCTGGACTTACTCTGGAGAATTGTAAACAACCAAACAAGAATATGCTGTGGAAATGGGTTTCAAAACAGCGCCTCTTTAATATAGGAGGCAGTGGTTGCCTAGGTCTTAACTTATCTAACCTAGAGCAGCCATTGAACATATATGAATGTGACTCTACCCACATCTCCTTGAGGTGGCACTGTAATAGGAAGATGATCATGGGCCCACTCCAGTATATGGTCCAGGTGAAGTATGACAACACCATCGTGGCCTCATGGAAATATCTTCATAAGTGGATTTCTTATATGTCAGGTGGTGGAAGCATTTGTGAATATCTGCATAAAGGTAAATAAATAATTTAAATAAAAATACCCATGAAATGGGAAAGTGATGTAAGATTTCCATTTTTAAAAAAATCACTCAGAGTGCAGTGTGGAGAACAGAGCCTAGAGAGGAAGTGAGCAAAATGGAGGAAATGGAGATGACTAGCTGGAACAGTAGTCTAGGACAACAATAATGATGCAGAGGTGGGCTTTAGCTGCTTTCTCAAGAGTATTGTAATAATCGATCATCTTTGGCCTTAAGCAAGAAACAAAAATTTTTCATGTCTCACCTGGGCTTTCTATGGTAAGGGGAACCTTGACCACCCTCAATCAAATCAGTAGGTCTTAGGGGTGGGGGTGGGAGAAGGGCCAGCTGTGGAGATTCCTGCCATTTCCCACAACTGGAAGAGGCAATTTCCCACAATTACCATGTCACCAGCCCTAGGTCTAGGGATGTAGCTGCTTAGGAATAACAGGTATTTATGTTCACATCATAACATGTTCCTTCTCATCCTTTCACAATATATAATATACATATTACCATGTTGCTGTTGTTATGTGCCATCGAGTTGGACCCGACTCATAGCGACCCCTCCTTGGGTTTCCAAGGCATTATCACTATGGAAGTAGATTGCCCCATCTTCCTTCCAAGGAGTGGCTGGTGGATTTGAACCGCCAGCCTTCTGGTTAGCAGTCAAGTGCCTTAGCACTATGCTACCAGAGCTCCCATATATTACCATAGCAGGGCACAAATAGATATATATAAACAAATCATTTATCAGCACTTTCTCAGAACCCAGCACTCAGCCTAGCATTTTATATACAGTAGACACTGAGGTTCTAGAGGGTTCTTGTTTGAAAAGAGCCTTGTTCATCGTAAAAGTTTTCAATCAGTGAAAGTGCATTAAATGTATGTCTGCTTTGAGCATTGTACTCTCTCAACTATTTATCTATGTGGGATCAGACTGACAACAGCATCTCAAAAGGTTAGATGAGAAGCTTAGGGGCAGTGACTTTACATTAATGGTGGTGAATAATTTAGAAAAGGATAGCAAGAACTGTAACACAACTTGAAGAATGTAAACAGTGTCACTGAATTGGACATGTAGAATTTGTTGAAATGCATATCCTTTGCTGTATATATTTTCACAAAAAATAAAATTATAAAAAAGTGTATTAAACTATTCAATAGTTTGCAGATAAAGCTAGCATAATACTTATTCAACTCTGTAATTTTCTTTCTCCTAGATTTGTATACAATTAAAGGGAATGCCCATGGGATGCCATGTATATTTCCGTTCCAGTATAACCAGCAGTGGCATCATGAATGCACCAGGGAAGGTCGGGATGATGACTTACTGTGGTGTGCCACAACAAGCCGCTATGAACGAGATGAGAAGTGGGGATTCTGCCCAGATCCCAGTAATAATGAAATTAATCTTCTCTTTATGTGGTGAATAAATGAAGGATGATGAGAAAGTTATCTGTCGCTAAAGAAAAGCATCACGATTGATATATTGAAGTCTACATAAGCACTCTGATTCCATTAATACAGATTCTGATTTTGGATTTGTTTTTGCCTTGAAAAGATATTCTGATGTATCTTTTTTTCCTTAGGTTCAAAAGATGTTAATTAGCCATTCTTCATTAAGCTAAGTACATAAGGATGATTTAACTGGAATCAAATTATAATACTCTGTGATCTCATTAATCCCAGCTTCCCAGCAGGATACTTCAGAACAAACCTGAATGCATCTAAAACCCAGCTATCCTTTCAACCACTTCCTCTTAAGAGCTGCCTTAACTTCTCCAGCCCCAGACTGCTTCTTTTGCCTGTTGTCAAGTACAGGCATCCATCATAGTTGCTTTCATTATTTTTCCACAGTGATTTCTCATCTTGATTCCCTTTCCTTATTACTCATTTCTATAAAGACTCAAAATCTTTCTTCTTACTTTTCTCATCCCAGGTCTTGGACTAACATGATTTTTTGTTTTTTATTTAGTTAAAAGGTTTGGTTACTAAGTATTGGGACATATATATATGTGTGGATATATAAATCTGTCAGTTTGTCATACTATGGTGGCTTTTGTGCTGCTGTGAGGCTGGAGGCTATGCCGCCAGTATTTTAAATACTAGCAGAGTCCTCCATGGTGGACAGCTTCAGCAGAGCTTCTAGACTAAGACATACTGGGAAGAAGGATGGGACTGTCCACTTCTGAAAAAATTGGTCAGTGAAAACCTTATGAATAACAGTGAAACGCTATTTCACACTGATTTATTACTGGAAAACTTTGTGAATAGCTGTGAAACATCATCTGATACAGTGCCAGAAGATAAGCTCCTCAGGTTGGAGGCACTCAAAATATGACTAGGGAAGAGCTGCCTCCTCAAAGTAGAGTTGATCTTAATGATGTGAATGGAGTAAAGCTTTCAGGACCTTCATTTTCTAATTGTTGGAGATATTGGGTTAAGGTATTGATTTTCACTTTGTCTTCTTTTTTGATATGTGCATTTATTGCTGTAAATTGCCCTCTGCTTTGCTGTGTCCCAAAGATTTTGGTATATTGTCTTTTCATTCTTTTTGATTCAAGGAATTTTTTAATTTCATTTTTTATTCCTATTACCCAGTCATTTTTGAGGAGGATGTTATTCAGTGTCCATGCATTTCTCTTTTTCCATTGGTCTTCCTAGTATTGGTTTCTAATTTTATAGCATTGTGATCTGAGAAGATGCTTTACAGTATCTCAATGTTTTTAAACTTGTTGAGGACTGCTTTGTGGCCTAACATATGGTCTATCCTGGAGAATATTCCATGTGTGCTGGAAAAGAATGTATATTTTGCTATTGTTAGGTGAGTCCGGTTTGACTCGACGGCACATAACAACAACAACAACAACAAAGGTGAAGTGCTCTGTAGATATATATAAGGTCAAGTTGGTGGGTTGTATTGTTTAGTTCTTCTGTGTCTTTGTTGACTTTCTTTCCAGTTGTTCTATCTGTTATTGAAAGTGGAGCTCTGGTAGCATAGTGCCTAAGGTACTTGACTGCTAACCTGAAGGCTGGTGATTCAAACCCACCAGCCACTCCTCAGAAGGAAGGTTGGGCAATCTACTTCCTTAGTGATACTGCCTTGGAAACCTAAGGAGGGGTCACTATGAGTTGGGTCCAACTCGACGGCACATAACAACAACTATTACTGTGGAGTCATCTATTTGTCTTTTCAATTCTGTTAAAGTCTGCTTTATATATTTTGGGGCTCTTTCATTGGGGCATAGATATTTATTATGGTTATATCCTCTTGGTCAAGTGATCCCTTAATCATTTATATAATCATTGTATATGCCCTTCCTTGTCTCTTATGGTCATTTTTGTCTTAAAGTCTATTTTATCATAAATTAATATTGCTGCTCCTGCTCTCTTTTGGTTGCCATTTGCTTGGTATATCTTTTTCCAACCTTTGATTTTCAGTCTATTTTTGTATTTGTGTCTAAGGTGAGTCTCTTGTAGACAGCATATTGATGGGTCGTATTTTCTTACCCAGTCTGCAACTCTTCCTCTCTTAAGTGTTGCATTTAATCCATTTACATTCGGTGTAATTATCAACAAGTATGAATTTATTGATGTTATTTTGTTATGTGTTTTTTGGGTTTTTTTTTGGTGGTGTTGCTTATTTCTTTGTTCCATATAATTTTCTATGCTGAGCCCATTTGCTTTATGGGTCATGTTATTATCTCTTTCATTGCTATTGTTGTAGTAACTGCCCAGTATTTGTGTTAGTCTTCTTTTTTATTTTGATGCAAAGGTTTATTATTTTTCTTTGTGGTTATCCTGTAATTTATAACTTTCTTCCCAAGTTTAAATAGTCTGTTCTATCTTACAATTGTCTTGACTTCCTCACCATTTAGAAGTTTCGTAACTACACTATTTATTCCCTCTTTTATTCTCTTTTTTTGTAATCAATGTCATTAAATAGTTCATGTAGAAACATTGAATTGGCATATGTTTGCTGTGTATATGCTCCATATCAACAACAAAATAAATAATTTAAAAATAATAAGCATGTTTCTTTATGTAAGACTTCTTAGGGCCTTTAATATGTTACTGTGCATTGTGAATTTCTCAGAGGGGGATTTAGTATGTAATATGTACCAGATTTTCTACAGGAACATCTTCAAGATGTAATACCCTGTGCACCTCATTTTGGGCAAGACTGTTCTAGATTTTAGCGGGTTGCTTGTCCATCACTCACACAAATGTAAATGTGTGGTTTACATTTTCTATGTCCTGAAACTGAAATCCTAAGCACTGAAGTTTTAGAGGTTGCAAATTGGGATCATTTCATTCAAATTTACCTTAACAATATTACTGTAATGATAAAATAAGACTGTAGTGAAAGTTTTTAATGGACTTTGTTTCCAGCTTCTGCAGAAGTAGGCTGTGATGCTGTGTGGGAAAAGGACCCCAGTGCACACATTTGCTACCAATTCAACCTGCTTTCATCTCTTTCTTGGAGTGAGGCACATTCTTCATGCCAGCTACAAGGAGGCGCTCTACTAAGTATTGAGGATGAGACTGAAGAAAATTTTATAAGGAGTAAGTAGGTGAACAATCACATTGATTTTAATACAATTAAAATGTCTGTTGTTAACAATTACGCTGATGAATGTAAAAAATACATCTAAAAAAAACCCTTAAAACATATTTTTCTATTTTTAGTAGGATCCAAAATTACATCCAGAATTATAACATGAACCCTGGACCATTCCATTTGGTGCCCATTCATATGTGTGAAAAATATAAAAATATTCCATTTCTCTGACACTGAACTGTGTTAATCAGTCCAAATCAATTTATTATCAGTTTTGTTCTTGTCAATTCTATTTCTGTTCTGACACCAGCTTCACATTTAGTACTGTCTCCTCTGACCCTAATCCTCACAAGCTAAAGGCCACAGTTCTCCAGACTACCAACTCGGCCCGAGAAGTCAGACACCAGCAGCAAGCTTGGGAGTCCCCACAATATCCTCATTTTGATATGCTGGCTACAGATTTGGAATTAGCCCACTTACCTACTCAAGATACCAGCTGTAAGATCAGAGGTCCCCAGCTCCATAACTTCTGACCAGGTACCTGCCATTACACCCCCAGGTTCCATAATTTGTGAGAATGACTCACAAAAATTGTGGAAAGTGTTACCATTACAGCTTTATAATAGCAAAAAGGGTGCAAATGAAGAGACACACAGGATGAGGTCTGGTAGGATTCCCAGTAGAAAGCTTCCATGTCCCAAAAAGGGATGCACTGCCTTCCCATGTGCACTGATGTCCTTGTTATTATTAGATGCCGTCACGTCAGCTCTGACGCATAGCGACCCCATGTACAACAGAATGAAACACTGCCCAGCCCTGTGCCCTCCTCACAATCCTTGCTGTACTGGAGCCCATGGTTGCAGCCACTGTGTCAATTCATCTTGTTGAGGTCTTCCCCTGTTTTGCTGACCCTCCACTTTACCAAGCATGATATCCTTCTCCAGGAAATGCTCCCTTTGACAACAACAATGATGTTTCTTACCAATCAGGAAACCCATGAAGCTTCCATGTCCAAAGCCTTTATTGGGGACTCATTATTTAGGCATAATTGATCAAATCAGCCTATGTCCCCTTAGGTTATCTAATATGGTCTTTCAGGTCTAACCAACTTCACCTGAGTTATCTCATTAGCATAAACTCTCAGGCGGTCTCATCAAATGCCTCATTTCCTTATATGAAAGAAATTTCAAGGTTTTAGAGGTTATCTCTTAGGAACCAAGGACAAAGACAAATTCTTTGGATAAAATTAATGTAAATCCCATACATCTTTGTTTTCTTCTCCTTGTATGAAAGAGCTTGAGGCCACAGCATGCGACCCAAGAGAATTTGCAGCTCTAGTAAGTGGATCAGGGAGACTTATAAACTTAAGTACTAATTCCTGCTTTTCTGGAAGCCTTAGCCATTCAATTTCCATTCATAAATAATTAAATAATTTATTAATTGGTACATTACACAAAATCTTATCTTTCGCTTACTATGTGCAAGTGTGTAGTAGATCCTTCTAATGGGTCCAAAGTATTTAAAATTTAGTTGGAAAAACGAAAACAGATATGTTGTTTAGCAATGTGAGACAACAATATGTCAAAAGAATTATACTAATCATCTGTGACTTGTATTTCAGCTGTCACCTAAATTCTTCCCTTTCTTTAAAAGATTAAGTAAGTATTTCTGTTTTATTTATAATGTAGTACAGTTTTCAAGGAGCCTTGGTGGCACAAAGATTAAGCACTCGGCCACTAACTGGAGGGTTGGCAGTTTGAACCTATCCAGTAGCTCTGTGGGAGAAAAGACCTGACAACCTGCTCCTGTGAAGATTACAGCCTAGGAAACCTTATGGGGACAGCTCTACTCTGTCCTATGACATTACTGTGAAATGGAATCAATTCGAAGGCACCTAACAATAATAATAGTTTTTAAAATTTTTTTGAAAACCTTTGAAAGTGTCACAAAACTAGTCACTTTCATTAAGAGTTACTGATACTATTTCTTTCCCCTTTTATTATACAAGTAGTACATGTTTGTTCTAGAATTTTTAAAATGCAGGTGCATAGAAATGAAAACAAAAGTAAAATATCCCATAATTCCACAGTTTGGATATACCATGTTTTTCTGTACAATGCATGTGTGTATACATAGTATCTAACAAAATGCTAATAAAATCATAAGGCAACTGATGCACAGTAGTTGAGAGTAGAGGCCACAGAGCCTCAGTTCCTGGGTTTGAATACTGTTTTGTTGTTATGTGCCATCGAGTCGGACCCGACTCATAGTGACCCCTCCTTGGGTTTCCGAGGCAGTATCACTATGGAAGTAGATTGCCCCATCATCCTTCCGAGGAGTGGCTGGTGGGTTTGAACCACCAGCCTGCTGGTTAGCAGTCAAGTGCTTTAGGCACTACGCTACCAGAGCTCCCTGTATCTATCATTTACTAACAGGTTTACTCAGACAAGTGACTTCAGCTGTCTGTGTCTCAACTTCCTCCTCTATAAAATGGAGATAAAAATAGTGGCTACCTGTTAGTGGTGTGGATTACACATTATAATGCAGGTGAAGACTTAGAAAAGTGCCTGGAAGATGTAACAAAACACTCAATGTGTGTTGTTAGCTATTTAACAAAACTATGCATATACTGGGAGCACTGGTAGCGTAGTGACTAAGGCACTTGACTGCTAACCAGAAGGCTGGTGGGTTTGAACCTACTTCTGTAGTGATACTGCCTCAGAAACTCAAGGAAGGGTCACTGTGAGTTGGGTCCGACTTGACGGCACATAACAACAACAATGTGCACATACTACAGTCTTCATTATGGATTGCACCTCAACATAAAGAAAATGAAAATCCTCACAACTGGATCAATAACTGAGCCTGTACATAGGTCAAGAGACTATCATTGGAACAGAACAAGAGGATACTGCATGATTTAAAATCAGGAAAGGTGTGTGTCAGATTATGAAATCTGTATGCTAAGCAAATAATCTGAGAAACTGGACTATATCAAAAAGAACGTGACATCAGTATTGGAGGAAGACTCATTAACAACCTGCAATATGCAGATAACACAACCTTGCTTGCTGAAACTGAAGAAGACTTGAAACCTTACTGATGAAGACCAAAACTTATCTTTAGTATGGATAAGTATCTTCAGTATAGATTACACTTCAATATAAAGAAAGCAAAAGTCCTCACAACTGGACCAATAAGCAACATCATAATAAATATTTTATGGAACATCTGTCCCAGTCTGTAAATATAGGTATTTTTAATGGTTACATAGTATTGTAGATAAGTTGACAATAATACATTTATCTAATCTACTGGAGTTCCTGGGTGGTACAGTGTTTAAACACTCTACTACTAGCTAGAAGGTTGGAGGTAAACACTCTACTACTAGCTAGAAGGTTGGAGGTACAAACATACCCAGAGGCACCTCAGAAGATGCTGTTGTTGTTAGGTGCCATCGAGTTGTTTCTGACTCACAGCAACCCCATGCACAGCAGAACAAAACACTGCTTAATCTCGTGTGAGCTCCATGATCCGTGCTATACTTGAGCCCATCATCACAGCCACCGTGTCAATCCATCTCATTGAAGGCCTCCCTCTCTTTCATCGACCCTCCACCCTACCAAGCATGACATCATTCTCCAGGGAATGGTTCCTTCTGACAACATGACCAAAATAGGTGAGACGAAGTCTGGCCATTCTCGCTTCCAAGGA